ACAAGTTCCATTGACAGGCATTACACAGCTCCTTGGTCAAAAGCAAATAAGCCACGTAACATGCATATAAAGCCATAGTAGATTGCAAGACAAGAAGCATTAGTTGAACCTTAGATCTACTGCTAATTCATGTGCTGCATTTACGAATTTCTTTATTTTTTTTTTTTATTATTTTGTCACTGTAAACATGGTAAATATTCCCCCTCATATATAACTCTGTGAGATGAAAGCTCTCTCGGGATGAAAATTCTTCATCGTATGACAACAAGCCACTTCCAATGACACCGATAAGAAAAAAGAACATTGATTAGAAAAAAAAATGGAGAATGAAGTGATCAAAAAGACTTTCTTACCATTTTATGTGAAATTTCCGAGATGTTCTAAATGAAAATATAAATGAAGGTTGAATATAAATTTATTTATTTCAGGATCAAATAGTTTGCAATGACATGTGGCATCTAAAACCAACATCTTTTTTTGTGGCAAGTTCTCTTTAAATTACCTTTCTGTGATATGGTTGCATAGAACAAAATGAGATTATGAAAAGATTTTGTCAGATATATAAACATAAGTGCATATGTCAGAAAAGCTCTGTCATTGGAGCTTATGATTCGGATGAACTGAAAGGTGATTGAACAAAATGTTTTAAAAATGTGCAAGCAAGTTTGGACCTTTTTTATAAATTCAATATACATGTATTCATATCACTCTAGGCATGCCAAAGACTAGCTTAATCTTGAATCCTATTGCTAATAACAAATTCAAGAAGTCCAAGGTACTTACATAAAAAGTCAATAAATTCATAATTAAGCATCAATTTATTTGCTTTCTTTTTACATTCTAAATATCCTGTGTGTTGCACACAATTGTCACATTAAATCTTTAAAAAATAACATTGGACTGATATTTTGTATTCTTTACTGTTCAACTAAAAGTATTTTCTGATAAAGACCATGAAGACTGATAGTGATAATTCAATACTTTCTAAATTAAAGTCTCAACAATCTATGGAATCTCCAAGCCCAGTTACATGTAAAATGAAGTATTAGAGAAAAACATATAAAGCAAAATGATTCCTGTATTTTGAATTCAAATGGAAGATGAACAAGTCCTGTCTTGTCTATAATGATGACACAGACTTTGTATGAATTAAACTTTGTAAAATTTAGTTGTTTATGATGTAATCAAACTTTTTCTTTGAAAAAAGAGCATTAAAATCTAATGAAATTCAGCTTTGATAAGGAAATCCCTCTTTTGAACTCTTCAGAGTTGTCAAATCAAATACTAGAGTCGAGCATTTGAAAATTCTTTTGACCCTCACCCTAAACCTGGTATCTGCTCTACATACTACCATTAATACTTTATTGCAATCAGAAAGCAATGTACAGTGAATGCAGATTTTTAATGAAAGGATAAAAATGGACACAACTTATTTCAAATGATTTTATGTCATTTATATCAATATTAATCTTAAATTTGATAAACTTTCACTAGAACTAAACGATGCATATAATGATCTGGCTACGAAATCATGCAAATCCACCTGGTTTTTACACAAGGAAATAGTAGGAGGGCAGTGATTGAGAAGGCTATAGATAAACTATCCATGTAGTGTAACAACACAATGATATGGACACACTGGAAATCTACATCGACAAATTCCTTAGGACTAGAACAATGATTCCTTTACTTGAAATACAGTTAAATCTTTGCATCCCAAACCTCCATGTCATAAATATCATGAAGCAAGTTGGAAGTATCACTTATAACAAAGATATTGATGTTTGAGATGCAAACATTCAACTGATTTCTGAAAGTGTATGCATGCATCAATGTGGATTTGTTTTCTTTTATGCAATCAAAACTTCAGAAAATTGGTGAGAAGCAAATGTACAATTTGTGGGGCTACAGTAAAAAATAAAAGTTTTAGCAATATTGTTTATAAAACAACTTTATATCTTTAAAAGTATTTCCAATTTCATACTCACCTAGAAAAGATTTTCAAAAGTTTTTTAACGTCTACTTTATCTGGTAAAACATTTTCGACCCATAGAGCTGTTAGTCCCTCCGGATTACGTGGGCTAAAAAATCAGCAAAATTAAATACATTGATAAAATAATTAAGTCCTTTATAATCAGTGTTTATTGATAAAAATAAAAACTACAGCTTTAACAAACTTACTCCATCTTTGTGACATCCTTCTGAGCTTGGGGTTTGGGGAGGGATGGAGTGGTAAAACCAGAATCGTCATCAGAGACGTAAACTTCATCGCCCAGAGCATTCTCTGCTATATCCAGAACAAATAAACTTTGAATAATTCATACTCGTACAACATGAAGCACTATTTGAATCAAGACTACACTTCAAAAAAAATTGCTTACATAAAATCATTAAGGAACAGATGCAAAGTTATTTTTCAACAAGAATTTACAGTATAATTACACCAAGAACATCTTTCTATTTTCTCACAAAATTGCATCATAGAAATCTAATGAGTCTTAAAGCCCTTTTTTTAAGTAACTTTACATACTAACTCCAGTAAGATTGAACAACAAAAAATAACATGGACTTATTAACTGTACCTACCGACACCTGCTAGAAGTGAATCCAGAGCAGCCTGTACTCTCTTCTTCAGCCTGAGATGAGAGAAACACAAAATGTATGAGGTTAATAGCCATTCTCTGTAACCCCCTTTTTTGGCCATGTCTGGTCACCAATTTTGATAAAACTTTACCCATAGTACTTAATACCAGTAACTTATATCAACTAAAATTTTGCTGTTGTGTGTCTTGACCAACTACAGATATGTTGGAATACACTTCCATTGCTTTTCTATCATCTGATATCGTTCTTATTACTGTTATTTTTATCCTAGTAAAAGTTCTTGTACAGCATCATCACAATTCTTGTCTAATTTCAAAACTTGTGTAAAGGCATCCTCTGCTTCAGAGAACATCTACAAACAAACACACACACAGTTTTACAGATCTCATTCTGGTACATCAAAACTGAAGGTTTGACCAGGTTGACAATCCCTTATGTTAACAACAGAGCTGCCAACATTTTGAAATGACAAATAGTAATGCAGGGTCTAGGGACCAAGTAGGCCCCCTGTCGCTGAAGATGTTTTGTAAATGGGCATGCAATCTGAGGCATATTTCCATTTTGGCTACTTCAAAACATTGACATGATTGTGATCGGCCTTTAAAACCAAAACGAAGATACACGCAAGCGTTGTAAGAATTATGAATATGTTATAATAATATAAACTATAGACTGCCAGCTATGAAAATACAGGTATTATAAACTTAATTTGAAGGAGAAAAAAAAATCGGAGGAATATAGAGAGAAATGGTAAGCTTATTTTAGACGCTGATTTCGTACACCTTAAGCCAAAATTGTAAGTGTTGGCAGCTCTGTAACAACTCACTCTTAATCCAGCTAGTGCTCTCCCTTTTCTAAAATATCCTTTAGGCCAATCTTTTTGTAAGGAAACAGCTTTTTCAGCATCTTTTAATGCTCTGCAAAATAAGTACATATTTACAAAAACCTGAGATATCTTTGTTACTTTAAAATCTTTTATTTTAAAAAAGTTTTATTTCCTGAACATTTTTTCACACATTAAGGAATGTTATTCAACATTTTATTTTTGAGACAACAGGTTAGGTTAGAAGTTAAACAACTCATGAAAGCTCTCCTACCTATCATATTGATTTGTTCGATCATAACAATATGATCTATTTCCAAAAAATCTGTAAAACAAAAGAAACATAATTTATTAATAAAGTTGTAAGAATTGAGACTGAAAGAAAATCGAAAGGATGAAAAAGGAGATGTAAGCAAATCATAAAATGACAACATTATGCCTGAGTGTGATTCTGAATAAATTGGAAATGGTTCTTACCTAAAATCATTGGGATCTAATTTTATGGCTTCATTTAACAGTTCTATAGCAGATTTATAATGACCTAATTGAGCCATTTCATTTCCTTTAACTGGAAAGAGAGAATTAAGTTATAATCAACAAAGACATGGGACTACTGTATGTGCTGTTACTTCCGAATATCCAAATCTATCAAGATCTTCTTAAAATCTAAATGTAAATAAATGGCATTCTTGAATAACATACAGTACCAAACAACCACACTACACTGTATTTAATTTCAATTTACATGTCTATTTAAATTTAAATTAAATTATGTCTATTTTAATAAATTAAATGAGTATCAAACAATGCAGTTTTAAAACGCTCTTCATTTACATTTATTTACTGATTAAATCAAAATTTACCAAAATATTTTTGAAAGATAAAACTTTTACTAAGATTTTCTGAGCTATTCAAGCTAGTCCTAATATCTTACTTGCTAACTGTCTACTACGTAAAACGACGGGGTCTAAACCCAGATAGCAAGACATAGTTGGGCCAACGTTGGCCCAAAAAAAAAACCAACTGTTGGTAACCATACGTTGGCCCACGGTAATTTTGCTCATCGGCCCAACGTTGGTCCAAATGTTGGCATATTGTTGGGCCAACGTGGTATAATTGTATGAATCAGCCAACCTTAATAACTGGTTGGTTAGGTTGGCCCAACGTTGGCCCTTTGTTGAAATGTGAGATGGCATATTGTTGGGCCAACGTAGTTATTAGTGTATGCCAACTAGCAGCCAACCTTAACAACTATTTGGTTAGGTTGGCCCAACGTTGGCCCTATGTTGAAATGTCAGATGGCATATTGTTGGGCCAACGTAGTTTGTAGTTTTAGCCAACTAACAGCCAACCTTAACAACTGATTGGTTAGGTTGGTCCAATGTTGACCCTTTTTTACAATGTCAGATGGCAAATTGTTTGGCCAACGTAGTTATTACATAGAAACATTTTCAATTGGTTAAGTGATGCTTTACATAACCTTATTTTATGACTGTTTAAAAAAATTAATACACAATTCAATCTGCATTCATAATGCATACATGGACATGTTCAATGAAAACATTACTAATGATTCACTGTGAAAATATTTTATATACATCAATTCAATCACAATTTACAAAATAAATTTTAAAATAGACAATAGAGGTAAATTATTAAAATTATCAATTCAAAGTTCTTAATCAGGGCTCACTTCCTTTATTACTGTCCTTTTGTTGTATTCCCGCTCTTTTTCCGTCCTTCGTCGCCTCCCGTTTTCTTCATCTTGATCTTTGTCATACGTACTCGTACTTTATACACTTCTTTATGCATGGTCCTCGATTTCATTGCTATTTACCGCCACAACATTTGTTTTCCTTGCAGTCTCTGACTGAAAATACAAAATAGTTTGATATTAGAAACAATGCAATTACTGGTCCAACTTATGAATAAATATTACTTCAATTAAATCTTTTAATAAAGAGAATGATGTATTATACTAATTAGTGCACCTTAATTTCCTTGTTAAAATCGTGTCTGTAATAGACAGTTAAGAATTAGATAGAAACAACTTAAAAGATGTTATTAAACCTTGACTTACAGTGCATGTGTGCAAAAACATGAAAAGAATGAATTCCGAATCAATATATTAACAGTTAACCTGTATAAATAAGAATAAATATACTTACATCGCTTCTAAATGCAGCTAAAGCAAGTGTATAATCCACAAATTTAAATTTCACTTCTTCTTGCTTGCCCTGCATTTTCAGTCTATGAGCAAGTCTGTGAACAATTGAATCTGACAAGCACACTCCACAGTTTGGTGTAATTTGATACCCGCGCGACTCCCCCAATCTTTAGCGAACGCCTAGCTTTTGTTTCCATTTAATTATAAAGCTGTGCCATTTTGATTTATGTATATGTAGGCTTCATTCACATCCTGTTCCTGAGAACAATTATATTCAGTCTTCTCTAAATTCTTATGAATACAACGCTCATGAGAAAATTCATTATTTCAAGGGTTTTATTTCAAAAAAATAAATAAGCATGCATGTGCACAATTCAAAAAATATAATAAAACACTCTTTGGTGCTGTGATCACTTAAGTTCAAAATTAAAATATTGAAAATATCAGATCTAAACAAAAACAGTCATCCAGTTAAAAGCAAGGACATTGAATGTACTCTTAATTATTTCAGAATGTGCATCTAAATTAAAACTTAATTAGAACCAACCTTGTCCCAACGTAAAGCTCAGCAGCTAAGAATGACACTTGGCAGTATAATAATTGGGCCAGCGTTAGGCAGATTTATAATATAAATATCCCATTTAAACACCTAAACAAAAGAACACTCGTGCTAACATCGGGCCAACGTTATACATACTACTACCAACTTGATAGGACACTTTCTTTAAGGGTGTATTACAAACATCGGGCCAACGTTGGGCCAACATACTACTACCAATTTGATAAGACACTTTTTAAGTATGTATTACAAACATTTGACCAACGTTGGGCCAACATACTACGATCAACTTCGGGCCAACGTTGGGCCAACATACTACTACCAACTTTAAAAGACACTTTCTTTAAGGGTGTATTACAAACATCGGGCCAATGTTGTATCCAACATAATACCAACTTTAGAAAACACTTTCTTTAAGGGTGTATTACAAACAGTGGGCCAACGTTGGGCCAACATCAACATCCCTCCTTCCTTGTGAAGTAAAGTGAATGGAAATTGCTAACGTTTTTACTACGATTTTCTGATATTCAATGGTCGAGAAGGTTGGCATGGTGACATTGGTCCAACGTTGCTAACTTGTCTACCAACGCCAACCATACAACCTTTTGCCAATGTTGGCCCAACATAGTCTTGCTATCTGGGATCTTCTGTTTCTTCGTCACTGCCGTGTCTAGATCTCTCTCTCTTTCCACCCGATTCACTTCCTGAGGTAGCTTTCTTTTTCTTATTAATGACTTTGGTAAAAAATACTGAATAAGGATCAAAACCCTGAAATGTCATTTAAAATTTGGCATCATTTATTATTCTTTAAAAACAGTTTTTAAATTAGTATCTGACTTATATAAACAACATTTCCTTGCTTGATTGATTATTTCATATATAGCAATGTAGAATGTAACTGAATTTATGCATTCTCACTCTTTCTTCTCATGCTAATATGCTCTTGTCAGTGAAAATCTTTTATGGAAATCTCTGTTAAATAGTTATTTTGTTAATAAAGTGAACTGAAATGTCTAAAAATTTTTCAAAACTTTGTTATAAATATGTTATTTTGTTAAAACATATATATTTAAAATTCATTGAAACTTAGACATGTCTACACATACACTAACTGCATCATCCGATGAAGATGAATTGGCAGGTCTAAAAATAAAGGAAAAAGAAATTTTAGGGTAAACAAATTTATACAAATATACTGCAAAAAATAAAAATTCTTAATCTTCAGAAGTAAAACATTACAGGTTTATGACTAAATTTCAAGACTTAGAAATGCACTTAGATAAATTTCCACTTACTTTTTATCCTTTTTCAATTTATTGCCACTTTGTATATCTGTATTTATTGTATCTTTAGTTTTTGTCTGTCCATTTACTTCAACCTACAAAAAAGAAACTTTCTTTTACATGTATAAGTTTGCAAATTAAAACCAAGGTCAAGAAAATTATTTACCACAGAGGTTATGAAGGGAGAGGATTTTTTCCCCAGAATTGTAAGTTACTCAATAAGAAGATATACACTGTTAGTAGAGAAATAAACTGTAGCAGGTCAAGTAATCTCAAGAGTTATCTCCCTGTCTTGGGCTTGTTCTGACCCGCCTCATTATGTGGGAGGGGTGTATCAGCAACATGGTCTTCTTTTACCAATGCTTCTTTCTTACCCTCCAATGACTCAATGATTAAGGATAACATTGGGAAAATCTGCTGTTGGAGAACAGAAGAGCAATTTTGACTTGGGTGAGCATTGTGGTCCATAGGCCTCATGTTTCTTAGCAACAGGGTACATAGGAATATATTATTGGAGAAAAATCTGCTGCTGAAGAGCAACATGGTCATATTGACTCAGGTGAACATTGTGGCCCATGGGCCTCTTGTTTTTGAAAATGACATGGAACATGAAATCTTTTTGTTTCCTTGCTTCTAATGGTCTTGAAAGTACACAGTAAGTTTCATTATCTGTTAAGAATTTTAGGATGGGACCAAAACTCTTTTGCTAGAAAAAATGCATACCTCAGAACTAATATTTAATTTAGTGACGCATGAATACACTTAGTTTAAAGCTACCTCTTTATATTAGGACTTGTTAACTTACACCTGTTTGTTCACAGTCACCTTGGTGCATATCATGTAATATTTTAGCAGTTTAAAGTCCAAATCACTTCACAGTGTATAGCTACCTTACCTGTGCCTCAAATCTAGGTCACAGGTAGGAGATTCCCAACAAACATGGCAGTCAGTAAACCAAAATATCCACTTGGTTCTCCTCAAGAGCATATTGAAATGTGTAAAACCCATGATTTACCTATTGATATGTTATGTGAGGACTGTGATAAATTTATTTGTCGTAAGTGTGCCAAAACAGATCATAGAGATCACGAATGGAATACTCTTCCCACGGCAGCTACCGAAAGGAGAAGAGGCTTGCTGAGATTTTTGATGAAGATCAAGGAAGGGGACCTCCCCAGTATTGATGAGAAGATGAAGAAGATGTCAAACCAGATCACAGAAAATAATGAACTGTGTGACTCGGAGATTGAAAAACTTCAGATGCATGTCGATGAGATAATGGCCAGGTTGACGGAAATCAGGAAAAGTAATGAACAAAAACTGAGAGATAATTTGGAGGAGAAAAATAAAAAGTTGAACAGTGTGAAATCTGAGCTAAACAAAAAGAAGAAAGAAATAGAAGAAATGGTAAAGTTTATGGAGGATAACAACAGCACCATGTCAGATTATGGCTTTATTGACAACCACAGGGAAATGTCAAAAATGCTGTCTGGTCTAGATGTTGATATAAATAACTGTAAACATTCAGTGAGATACAGAAAAGGAGAAATCAGTGATGATGTTCTGAAAAATATTATAGGAAGGACCCTGGATTTAGATGATATCAATTTGACTGAAACAAACTCATTTAAACATGGAGATAAAATAATACTTACGTTGAGGGCATTGTGTGAAGATCAGTGTTACATAAGAGAATTTGAGTCATCTGACACGGAACAAGTAAACAAAGAAGGCAAGAAAAAACATAAATATAATATCAAATCTAATGACATGTGTGTGACTGATACTGGTGATGTTTATTTCGCTGACTTTGATAACTTTTGCATCAGTCGTCTGTCACCATCAGGATCTGTATCTACAATCATCAGTACTGATCCACTGGAACCAGGAGGAATATGTCAGTCAGTGGACGGTGGATTATTGGTCATCTTGGTGGGCAAGGGATCAGATCGTTACAAAATAAAGTCACACAGCAGACGTCTGATGAGACACATCACGATGACAGGTGACGTCATTCATGAGTATGAGTACCAGGAGGACGGTCACACCAGACTGTTTACATTGCCAGGCAGAGTCACACAGAACAGTAACAGTGATACCTGTGTTGTGAACACTACAAGTCCCACTACAGGTGAACTCTTGATTATTTCCCCCTCTGGTCGTATTAAGTTTGTCTACTGTGGACAGAACCTGACAAGGAACTTTTTTCCAGCTGATGTAGCCTGTGACTCCTTGTGTAACATCCATGTTACTGACCCATTTAACAAACAGATCCATCTACTGAGTCCTGACGGGGAGTTCCTGAAGTTCTTACTGTCAGATGATAAAGTGAACCAACCAATCAGCTTATCCCTATACAAGTCTACACTGTGGGTGGGATATTATGAAGGACTTGTCAAAGTGTTTCAGTACAGAATGTAATATACTAAATTTTGTGATAAATTTAAGTCATACATATATTTCATAGAATTCTGCTTCTGACATTACATTTTTCTTAATTTCTGGTCAAACTACAGGTTTATACTTTTAATTCAATTTCAATGGACACAAAAAAAGAAAAAAAAGTTTATTCTGCATTATTCATGCTGTTACCAAAATCAAAACTAATTCTGAACTGTAGTCTGTAATTTACAATGTTTGTTTAAGATTTAATTAATTTTGATAAATAGATAACTGAAAATGACAAACATACAGATAATCGTGCTCAGAAATATTCAATTATTATCAAAGAAGTACGGCACAGTTGGGTACCAACACAATGTTTTCACAATAATGAAGACTACACAAATTGACCAATTACTCAAACGGCATTGATCAAGAGCGTCATAATTTCCTCAGCTTAAAAAGATTTGTTTAACTTAAGGCTGAATTATCGACCTTTGTGTATTTTTTTTAAGAAATGTGTTTTATTTTTACATAATTTTTTTTCGACTAATCGATTACAGAATTCCTAACCGATTGAAATGAACATCTCTAATTACAGTGTAATATAAAGTTTTTCGGAAATCCGTTTAAATAAATAAAATTTGAGAAAGAAATGACCTTGCAAAATTTAAGCAAAGTAAAATTTCATGGCATAAAATGTGAATTACAATGTGTACAGATATTTATTCTGAATAATTTCAATCAAAAAATTCTTTTCAATTCAAACTTATAACTTTACTCATTAGGGAACAACATTATTTGCCACTATTTGATTCAATGCTTGCCAACTGAGGTTTACCTTTGACACAAAACAGTTGCATTAGAACTTACTTTTCACATCAAAATAATTACTTATGTAACATCATTATTTGTGACTGTTTGATTCAAAGCTTGCTGTGTTTTACCGTTAACATTAGAGCCTACCTTTGTCTGTTCTTTCTGTTTTTCGAATTTCTTTTTCTCTCTCCTCCTCTTGAATTTGGAAATACAGAGAAAAAAAAGTACAGAAAACAAAAAAAAATTAATGTATAAGTACTTTAAGTTTTATCGCTATTCCATTCATAAAATCCTAGTTGTCCAGAAAAAAAAGTTTTACATATTAATAAACAATTAAAATTCTTATGATCTTGATTAGGGTTGCCCAATCACAAATTAACAATGGCATCTCAAATCACAGATTTTGAAATATTCATGCAGGTCACCTTTTTCTTTGCTTTTTTTCTCTTACCTGCTTTTTTTTCTCCTCCTTAGATATTAATTCTTCTGCATTTCTATCTATTTCTTGCATAATTTTTTTATATTCATTTACAGAAAGACATGAGAGCAATAAATTCCAGCAAAAATTGTTTTTATATGTTTTTTCATTTAAAGTTAAATTTTTTTTATATTAGAATGCTCTCATTTTTTCAGGGCTAGTGAATCTTTGTCAGGGCCAACAACTTGAACTGACATTCAGCGCTTACATGTATTTTCATCAATGATTAGTCTCTTTACTTTCTAATCATAAGAGTTAAGGCAAAATAGTTTAAATACTTTTGGTCTCTTTTTGGGTGTGGAAGGCCTTTGTCACTAACCTTGATGATTGTAAACCCTTTCTCCCACCATTTGGCTGAAGTAGCGAGTACCAGTAAGGAAACACATACATTTATAGCGAACATGCTAACTGTTAACTTTGATTTAAGTGACCTTGAATTTGTCTCTATCGTGACCTTTGTAATAGGGTAACGATGCATTTACGTCAATCTTTGTTAAAGTAAGGGCTTAATTTCCATATCTCTTATACAAATTGTTGGTTGTAATAATTGTCACAGATTTCAATCTTTAAGTTTAACTTTATGAACTGGACACTGTCACTTTTCTCTACTGGCAGTGACTCTGAAGTTGTCCAACATATAAATACTTGTTGACATCAGCATTACCAGGATTATTGTACAGATACTCAGTGTAGCTTCAGAAACATATCTCTCCGGTTTAGAAAATTCGGACATATAAAGCAGAGGCCTGTTCAGCAGAGCGAACGTTCGCAAGCGTTTGCAACATTCCTTATACCTCTATTGTAATTTTGGCGAGCGCTCACAAACATTCCTCTATTGAACAGGCCTCTGACAGATCTATCTGCTTTGTCTGTCCGAATCTTCTTAACCCGAGAGCTACAGTTCTGCAGCTATGCCACGTGATGATCAAGATATAAATACACCATTTCCATGCACCCATCGTATTTTAACTGCAGACAGTCATACATTCAACAAAATCAGTCAGTTTTTTTTTTCTTTATTTTCCTGCGCGCATTACACGTGGAAGGTCATGCCTCAATCCTATCGGTACAGGGAACTTCAGTAGTGTTCGAGGGGTCTACATGAATACACCCGTACATGGCAACATTTGCGTACAAGTTAATCATGATCTCAAGGGTCCTCGGTTTAGTGGACAGAATGGCATCTATGTTTAACAACTTCATTCACACCGTAAATCGTCCACTTGGCAATCTTCTTCGAAAATGGAATATCCAGATTAACATTGATCAAATGTTAAATTATAGATGATGAAAGAAACTGTTCCCTTGGTTGAAACTGTTAATACATGTACCAATGATTTATGTATTGAGCAATATAGGTATTCACAAAATATAATGATTTTACAACATTCCCTTTTGTTTAAATAAAGAATACACATACTTCACGTACTTTTAATTTGCTTTCTTTTTTCTATTAAATGTGTATCCCAAGATGAACATCTATGCAAGTTTGGTTTAAGCAGGATTCAGTTACTTGGGAAAGGATTTGCTCAAAAAGCCTGTTTTCATATCCTGCAGAAAATAAAGATCGGTACCCACATCTAAAGCAAGCCTGGTATCGTCAAGGGTTGTATCAGTATATCGATACGTATCGATATTCAGTAATAATATCGTATTGAAAAATAACTTCCAATACGTATCGGACAGACAATATTTCTTCTAATTCTTTTTAAAAGATGGGAATTACAATCACCAAAAAGAAACACGCACGCTAACTCTCGATTCCCGCCTACATTTTGGAACCATTTAATTCAATATGAATAGCAATTTAGCCATAAAATCATTGTTTGATACAAAGAACAGTTCAATGGTAATTGTAAATTGTCTTAATACCAGCGCTAAACAGTAAATTACCCATAATTCCAGCTCTTGAAAAATAGGGGGGTAGACTGTGTTCTCCATTAAAATCGGAATTTCAAGCATCACCGTATTTTGAAATAGTCTTGGATATGATTAAATGTTCCTTATATCTTTTCTTATGTGTTAGGCAAATAAATAAAACATAAAAACACTGCGACATTTAAGTCCGGACACGACAAAGTCCGGACTTTTAGGTACCCTTTCGAAAAGACCTACATTAGATTTTTTTCTATATTTTGGTGGGATTTTTTATTCTGACCTCATCATGTCAATCTCAACTTCCACATTGTAGTAGTTTTCTCATAAACCTCTGTCAAAACCTAAAATCCCATGGGAGAATGGCGGGATTTTTCATCCCACCAAAAATCCCACCAAAATCCCATGGGAGAAAAAGTACTGTGGGATAATTTCTCCCACATGGGAAAAAAAATCCCACGGTTGTTGCAAAAATGGGATTATTTCTCCCACAGGACAAAATATCCCACTAATTGATGTCAATATAGGATTTATCCCATATTTTTGGTATGTGATGGGAGAAATTATCCCACCAACCTATTAAATATATAACAAATCTGAAATAACCACAATAAGTAACCTTAAGCACCGTTAAGAGTGGTGTTTTATTTCTAGCGCCGAAGAATGTAACATGCAGTATACATGTAGTATTCTCAAAATATATTTTTTTTTCATTATCATTTTTTGTTATTTACCCCCCAATAAGGCATATTGTCTTGCTACTGATGATTTGTCTGTCCACCATCAGTTGCCATTCATTTTCTTTGCAGTGGTTGTACACATTGAAATGATATTTGTTATATCTATCATATGAATATCTAGGTCTACGCAGGTTATCTATGTTACAATATATTTCTTTAACTTCTCTGAATGATTATGATTATAATGACAGCTGCTAACATAATTAATTAACATGATTAATGAATCCAAGATATGAACTTCATAATTCTGACAGTACTTTTTACATGTCTTTCAATTAAAAATGTGTCAAAGACACAGATTTGTACTTCTGTTATTGTGTTTGATACAGTCATATTTCATTATTTGTTCACATGTAACATGTAACATGCTCCTTCCTAACACTTCTTTCTGATAATAAAATGTATTTCTTTTTATTTACGCCTGTTTGGTGTCTGTTGAAAGGTGAATTTACCCAAGGCTCATATACAGCTATTCTATCTGTACCTGTTGATATAACTTTGACCATTTACTGATTTATATACTCACTTGTTAGTTGCTTCACTTTGTGTTGAGATGATAATGGACTAATTCAAGCATGTTAAACCAATATCTCAAAGAAATGAATATGAATGAGACTAAATTGATTTAAATGTACGTGAATTAATCCTAAAAATTTAGTCTTTAAATCAATTATTGACTAAAATCTGATCAAATCACCAAATTTTTCTTTCCGAGTTCTTGCATCTCTGTTGCGACAATTCATCAAATGATGTATTATTTTACTACGATTGCAAAGCGCAGTTGAGATCTCAGATGATTTAGAGTCAATTCGTACACAAACCAAGTCGTACTTAAGGTTTAAAAAAAAATTGAGGAGTCAACTTCTATACAAAGGTTTTTCTTTATGCCTCTGATTTTTCCTATACCATTATGCGCAGATTGTCTTTGTTTTCCCGGTGTAATTAAATCTGAGGCATCAACTCCTACATATTTTAATATTGTAAAGGTAATATATTATATATTTTAGACAACTAATTAATTTGATTAATAAACATCACTGCAACAAGATATACATGTATGTAAAATTTTACATTTTAACAGTAGTCTTCTTTTTGTAAGTGCAAGTAATATATGTGGATATAAATGTAACTTGATATAATGCAGATAAGAAAGTTATCTTAAATATTTCAACAACAATTTAACAACAACAAAAATAATATTCCAAATTGGCTTAATATGATTGAGAAAAAAAAAAGAAAATAAAGAAATGGTCATTTAAAGGCAGAGAATTTTTACCGGGTGGTATTTTTATTCCAGGTGAGGGAGGGGCTAATTTTGTACAGGTGTGATTGCCTTGGAGCTAGCAGCTAGTCTACCTGCATGAATGGATACACATGCAGTGAAATACCCTAAGGTGTCATTAACTAATTATACCTGTGATAGGGATTTTAAAACAACTTTGAATAAGTAGTAGAAAGGCTTCTCAAGTACTAAAGTATTGAATTATATATTTTTTAATTTTAATTTAACACCCCTATCCTTTAAAAAAAAATATTATATCATATACTATAAACTGCCTTTATGAGAACTGACACCATTATGACTCTTTGAGCATTACATAATTATGGATTCTCCCCATGAAAATTTCAGTCCTTTAATATTTAAAAATTATGATTTCAGATTTCGAAAGTTCATGCTTTTATAAGAAAAAAAAATCCCATACTTGCCAAATTTCATTCAAAAATAAAAAAAGTTATGACCATTTAAGAGAACTGAACACACCGGTACGACTGACTGCATATAGCTTTGTAATGGATTCTCCCTATGTAAATTTCAGATCTTTTACAATTTATCATGTAAGATTTACATAGTTCATGCCATTGCAAGAAATATAAAACCAATTATAGACTTGCCAAATTTCAGTGAAAAAGGAAAAAGTTTTGACCATTTAAGAAAACTGAACACACCGGTACGACTGACTGCATTATTATAGCCTGGTGATGGATTCTCCCTATGTAAATTTCAGTTCTCTTACCGCTTATCATGCAAGATTTACAAAATTTATGCCATTGCAAAAAAAAATAAAACCAAACTAATGCCAAATTTCATTGAAAAATGAAAAAGTTATGACCATTTAAGAGAACACACCAGAGTACACCTGACTGACTGCATATAGCTTTGTTATGGATTCTCCCTATGTAAATTTCAGTTCTCTTACAATTCATCATGTAAGATTTACAAAGTTCATGCCATTGTAAGAAAAATAAAACCATACTAATTGCCAAATTTCAGTAAAAAAGGAAAAAGTGTTGACCATTTAAGAGAACTGAACACACCGATATGACTGCATGACTGCATATAGCCTGGTGATGGATTCTCCCTATGTAAATTTCAGATCTCTTACAATTTATCATGTAAGATTTACAAAATTTATGCCATTGCAAGAAAAATAAAACCAAACTTGCCAAATTTCATTGAAAAATGAAAAAGTTATGACCATTTAAGAGAACACACCAGAGTACACCTGACTGACTGCATATAGCTTTGTTATGGATTCTCCCTATGTAAATTTCAGTTCTCTTACAATTCATCATGTAAGATTTACAAAGTTCATGCCATTGTAAGAAAAATAAAACCATACTAATTGCCAAATTTCAGTAAAAAAGGAAAAAGTGTTGACCATTTAAGAGAACTGAACACACCGATATGACTGCATGACTGCATATAGCCTGGTGATGGATTCTCCCTATGTAAATTTCAGATCTCTTACAATTTATCATGTAAGATTTACAAAA